CTGGGCCGCCCTCGCAGCCGCCGCTGCAGCCGCGGAGCCGTCCGCAGGGTTCGGGCCGGGAAGCCGACCTCCCTCCCCCAGGCCGGGGCCGCGGGGAGCGCTCGGCGCCAGCACGTGCGTTCATTCCAGCGAGAGGCCTGGGCCGGCCGCGGCCGCCGCCGAGCTTCCCCCGCAGGAGCGGCTGGCGGGAGCTCCTGCCCGCAAGCAGCGCCCACTCGGACGGCCTGAGACCTCGCCTCCGCCTCGGGAGATGCCCCCTTTCCACCAGCCACCGCCCGGCCCCGCCGCCTGCAGCCCCTAGAAGTTGGCAGGTGCCTGAGCCCGGGGCCTCGCACCGGGTGGGAACCGTGGGCCTGGCAGTGAGCTGGTATTTTAGACATTTGGGGAGGTCTGCCGTTTGCTAGATCCTGAGTCCCCGAACTCCCCAGTCTTGGAGCAGTAAATGGCAAAGCGAGGGCTTCTTATTCGTCGCCACCCGAACGCAAGTGGGTTCTTCAGAGTCACCCAGGAGCCCTTCCCCACGCCACCCATTCCGCTCACAAGGGCACCAATCGGAAGGGAGAGCCAAGCAAAACCCACTGAAGTCTGGACCTGCTGGCACGCCCCCGCCCCCCAGCCGCACGTAGCTTTCAGGCATTTGAAACGTGGTTAATCCAAATCCAGGTGGGCCTTGGTGTGAAATACACACCAGGTGTTGAAGACTTATACTAGAAAAAGAATGTAAACTGTCTCAGTAATGTTATATGAATTACACGTCGAAGTGATAAGATTTTTGGTACATTGGCCTAAATAACATATTTTAGTGTAACTACAAGAAAATTTAAAATTATACATCTGACTTACATTTGTGGTCCGCATTATTTTTCCATGGGACAGCACGATTTGGAGGGGAGAGAGGAAAATGCTTATTCCTGTCGGTGTATTCTGTACCCCTAAATTCTGGTAGGAAGGATTTGAGGGTTTTATTTTGTATTAACATCTTAAGACCCATTTTTAGGTAGAAAGAATGAATGAGAAATCAACTCTGGAAATTATTCAACACCTTAGCATAGTCTAGAAGAGGTGTAGGGAAGCAACTACATTGCATTATGGCGCCGCAGAAGCATCATGTAACAAGGTCAGACCCGAGTCTGGCTTTGCCCTAGAATTGCTTTTTGATCTTAGCAAAACAACAACAGAAAACCCCACCTATGTTGGCCTTTTAGTGTTCTCAGTTTGTAGCGGAGATAATGCCTCTGACTTACTTTCGAGGGATAAATGAGATGATCCCTGTAAAATGCTTTGAACTCCACTAAGAAAATTCTCAATAATAGTTACAGGTCAAATCCTGTTACAAAAAAAATACTCAAAAAAAAAAAAAAGGCGCTGTGTAGAAAAAGATTTCTAAACTCCAGCCAGTGGTTTACTTATTAAAAGCAATATTTGCTATGACATTTCAGTACACCTAAAGAATTTAGACCATCGCTTTGAGATCATTGTAAAGAAATGTACTTATTCATACTGTTATAAGGCTATTGAGGTGGGAACTCTGCAAATTGAGGTAATATCATCAACTTAGCATTTATTGATTTTGCTATACTGTGTACTGTGAGGGACGCTGGAAGACAGAAATAAATACTGTATATGGCTCCTATATTTTGTGTTCAGATTTGTGTTAGACACATTTGTAATTTCTTACTGTGTGACTATTTTTTAACTGTTCCTTTACACAGTAAAATTGAGTAACGTATCCACATTGCACCTAGATTTTAGTGGAAAACTTCAAGGCTCAGAAAATTGTTTAATTAATCCAGTATAAATCAAATCAGTATTAAAATCCACAATCACACCAGTGCAACTTACTCTTTTACCCCATGTTACCTTTATTGATGGAGAAATTAAATAATCACTACAAAACATCAAATCACCCTCTTTCACACCCAAATTAGACATTAAGTGAATGGTTCAAGGTAGAATTGATGGTTTAGTGATTGCCCCAAAAAATCCAAAGTAGTCACTATGCAGAAAGACAAAGCCAAAATGGAAAATTGGAATATATTCTGTTATCATAAGAGTTTTCCATGTATTGTTCCACTTATTCCTATCAACAACCACATGAGGAAGATACTATTAACCCATTTTTGGCAGAAGATGAAACAGGCCTATGATCACATGGTTCCTGGATGGAAGAACAGGTAGGTATTAAATCCAATCTAACCCCAAAGCTTGCTCTGAACCATGCCTTCACCATACACAGCAGAAAATGGAATAAGGGACCTCTAAGGTCCCTTACAACTAATAAAGACACACCTAATAATACTATACCTCTGACTTTCAAGCAGTCCGGTATCTAAATAAAAGCTGTTTCTAAGCAAATAAATTAGCTCCTGTCTCAATTACTTTTGAAGAGTTAACCATGTAGACTTACAACCCCTAATGCTTTTCATAATCTTTAAACTGATTTGTAGGAACTGAGGTATCTTGCAAAAGAACATTTAACTAACTAAAGTTTAGTAATTCCTTCATTTTGCTTCAGCGTCAGTTTCTCCTGTTGAATTTAAGTAACAATGTATGTATGGTATGTATATTAGCCTTTTGGGAACTTTGTCCCTACTTGTATGTATGTATAGATGGATAGATATAGTTATTTCTAGGTAATATAATTTTTGGATTTTACTTTGTACTTTTTCGTATTGCTTGATTTTTTATAAGAAGCATATATCACCTTTATAAAATTAATAAAGTCTCTCAAAAAGAAGAGTTGTCATGATTCCAAACACACCATGCTACAAGAGAGTTGGAGGTTTGAAGCCTAGATCATTGTCAAGAGTTTTTAATCTGGCCACCTAAGTTTCTTCAAACTTTATTTATTCCATTTAAAATGTGGTATTATTTACTATCATATAATAGTAAAATTAA